CCGTCTCCTAAAGTAAACGTTACTGATTTGGTTTAATTTTGTGTGTGTGTGTGTGTGTGTGTGTGTGTGTGTGTGTGTGTGTGTGTGAAATACACAGGAAGTCTCTCTGCATAGTACTTAGAAGTACGTATGAAATATTTTTTTGACATTATAGGACTTGGAAAAAATGCTCAGTAGCAGTGTGAGGCAATAGTAATAGTACCAACAGGAATATTTTCCATTTATCACATTGTGAGTCTCCAAATGTGTATCACATTCAGTCATATCTGTTTTGGGTCTGGCATCAGATGAGACATAAGAAAAAGCTTTACTCATTCTCTTGAAAATTCAACTTTTATTTCTAGAGCAGAAATCATTGGTTGTACTTTAAAACCTCAGAAAGTTGGATTCATATTTGTTTTTTCTCTTAAATACAGATATCTGATTACTGATCCCATTTTAACAATATACAGTATTAGAGTGGACAGTGAAAGAAAAGTATCAAATAGAGTTAAACATAACCTCAGCTATCGAGCCTTTGTTATCCATGGATGACAGCCCAGTTAATAAATGTTTTCTCACTGCGATGCTGGACTGGAAGTTAATGGTGAAACACAGCTTCAACATACTCCAGATGCTCAAGACAAGCAGACACATCGCAACCATAATGGCAGTGGCATGCACAGAATGTATCTATAGGGGGTCTGTATTAGTCCAGATTGGGTTTTCCCCTTTTCTAGCCCAGGTGCAAATGCTGTGTAAGCTAAGAAATTTGGGCAGGGAAAAGACTGGTTCGTGTTTTGGATACGTTGCTTGAAAATGGTGCTTAATGCTGGCAGGGGTTTATATACAGAAGAGGGAAAGATGAAAGAGGAAAGATTTTGGCAGAAGCTGTAGTTCAGGCATGCAGAATAGATATCCTAGTCCACATAATCATAAAAGTGTGTCCGCTTGCTAGACTTGCTACGTATCTCTCTCCAGTTGGGTTTCTGTCTTTAAATGTAAATGACATAGTATTGCCTTTAGACTTTCTGAGTCACTAGACTAGAGCCAAAAAGAGTTCAAATATGAAAAATATGTTTTGTTACATTTGCCATTAAAGGAGCAGTGTTATTTTAAGAGAGATGAAGACTGAATTGTTTCCATAGTACTTTTCTCCTCCTTTTCAGCATTTGCTCGCATTTTGTTAACAGGATCAAGCTAAAAATTAGGGAGAGGGTGGCAGGAGTAATTTCTTGACTTGCTGTCGGCCCATCCACAACAGCCTTTACAGAGAAGAATAGGAAAATCCATGATTCTCCATTGCTGCACTGCAAGAATTCCTGAAATATGTACGACCTGGTGACGGTTAAAAGATAGCCCAGCCGAAGCTGGGCAATGTTTTTATCCCAGTTCAGCCATGTCATGGGTCATGTGGTTCAGCATGTGAACAGGAAGGTGAGAATGGGTGAACTTTTGCCTCAGTCGTGCAGTCCATCAGAGAATAAATGGACCAAATCACTCCGCAGCTGTATCAGGAGGTGAACGGCTGAATACCTCTCACACAGAGGCCTTTGTGTTCTGGACATGATCTAGCATTATGATGGGACGCACTAGGCTGGGGCTTTGTAGCAATTACTAACCCATTATCACGCTAGAACATGAGATCATTTATCTTCTAATTCAGAGTGTCACCTGTTCTTCATTTACCAGTCAATAACCATTAATTACTTTCAGTGGAAATTTAAACAAAGCTTTTCCCCTCTGTTAAAACCAGTAAGCCATTCAGTAATGACAAATAAACCTGGAGCTGTATCTCCCCCTTTCCTCTCGTTCTCAGCCTGGAGTCTGGTACAATATGAACTCCTGGAGGAAATGCCTAGGAATTGATAGGTCAAGGGCCTTTATTAGTCTGATGGGGGGGAAGCACATTCCTGGCACTTACTGTAGGGAAAGCGTGTAGCTACCGCGTGCACATAGTTTTCACATTGGTTCCACAGGCTCTACCTGTGGAAATGAAGATCCGAATGTGGAGTGTGGTCAAAAATTTTCTATCCTCTGGCTTGCCTTTGCATTCTTTTACGGGCTGTTCGTGCAGACCCATTCAAAGCGAGAGCATTTGGTCACCTTCCTCAAAGCAAAACAGAACTATCGCTTACTTTGTTTGTAATTTTAAGCATGTTGATTTTGTTCATACCTGATTTGATTGAGATAATTGTAAGTTCCAACAATTGTGAATGCCAGAAAAAATAAAAGAACCAGCAGCAATAGATTCTCAAGTAATCATTAATCTAAACATTCTTTCCTGGTAGGAGTTGAAGCAAAAATTGCTTTTAGCAACTGTATCTGCACTGTTTGGCTGTTGCTAAGTTGGTCCTCTAGAAATTTACTGTAGTTAAAGTTGTATTTCTAGAACAGTGATTGCTTGCTCTTTGAAATGGTAGACAAGAGTCGGTACATCCAAACATGTAAAAGCTGTTGGGGCCAATTGTTAAAGGCTGTTTTCTGTTAGTATTTTGTAGCTGTCACCTTCAATGCAATACATGTTTTAAAGTAAAGAAGGATGACGTTACAACACTTTTATATTAATAGACAAAATCAGTGTAGAAATTTTTGAAATACTCACTGGATTGTAGAAAGTCTCAGCATAAGAGCCTGCACTAAGATTATGTCAATGAGTCCCAATATTGAGGTGTTTAAAAGTGGAAGGATGGCAAAAAATATCGTAAGTCTGATCCTGATTTTACTTAGGCATATTAATACTGCTTTACAGAAGTGCATAGTGAATAGCAGATCCTTGTGCTAATATAGCATATTAGGTCAACCTACATGGCATCTGAGGCAGGGGTATTTTTACCAATAAATGAGGTTTGGTCATTACATCTCTGCCAGCTGTGCTGCATGCAATTCCAACAAAAACGGGGGCAGACCTCGGATTCATTAGGTACAGCAAATATCCACTAAAGTCAGGAGGAGAACCACTATAATTGTTGACTGACTGACTGGTTGTCTAATCCTGGAAATCCTTTTTCACTCAAATAGTGCCTTTGCATGTGAGGAGGCTTCTTGTTTTCAGGGCTGCTTAATGTAAAATGGTCTGTGAAATAAGGGATTAGGTTAGGAGAACCAGAACTATCAATTACTTATTTAAAATTTTACCTTCCCGTGAGGTTGTTACCACTGAGAATCCTGCAAGTTTGTCCAGTCATGAAGAAACAGGCTTTGGCAATTTACCGCGACCTCTCAAATCAGCAGGGAAATGCCAATGTTCCAAGAAAGCTAATACAAGAGATACGAGTTAAGACATCTCCTCCCCACAAGAGGAGTTTCATCAGCCAGTTGGATATTTCTGCGTCATTGGCTAGGATGTTCAACCCTGGAAAGGAAAAATAAAGTTGCTGCCATTGTCCTGCCCAGCAGGTCGTATCCCTAAAGCACAATTAATGTCAAGGACTTACACAGCAGTTGCCCAAAACCCAGCTTGCCATGCACGTTCAAGAAGCAAAAAGGTTCAAAAGGAACATGTTAATAAAATCTTGTCAAAACTTTGGAAGATGCATAAAATAATAACCGGGAAGAAAAATGACTTGCAAATAGAACCATTTAAGCAGAATGCATTGCCTTGCTATGCTGGACACTGATTTATTGAGAAGGGGGGTGGGGGGGATTGAGTATTTCAGGTGGTATGTACCAAGAGAAACTGAGCTGTCCCAAAGCTTTTATTAATCTGATTTGCAGAGTATCCACTACCATCAAGGGACCTACTAAAGTTGTTTTCTTTAAGGCTGATGTGAAAAGGTCAATGCAAATAGTGCTGTGGATTACACTGTGAGAAGATGACAGTCCTTTTTACCATATGGAGAGAAAGTTGAATTATTTTGTTTTCCTTTTCTGGTTATTTATTAAATGAGGATCATACTGTACAGGTATTCCCTTTTCCTTTCTAAAGGAAATGAAGTGTTTACATCATTTTGATTGATCTAAAGTAATAATTATTCTGTCCACCTATAGCTCCTAGGCAGTATTCTAGTGGCTAGAGCAGTGTCTTAGGCAGCATAAAACTGAAACGTACCTGCCGTGATACCTCAAACAAGTCACACGTGTCTTTGTGCACCTCTATTTCCATCTGCTTTCCTGCTTTCTTGTTGATTTAGCTGGTAACTTAAATAATGGTGCTCATCTGTCCCTGTGTTTGTGGGAAGTGACTCTGAAAGATACTGCTGTGGGAAGTTAGCATGCCCCCTGAAATGCAAAAATGTTGGTAGTCCCATCAAGTTGTGCTTCAAAACCTGTTGTGATCTTTGTCACTGCTGCCCAAATGGTTCTCTGAAAGAGAAATGTTAATGGGTGTCACACTTTTCTACCAGTATTTTCTGTGTTCTTGTGTCAAAAGAAAAAGTTTCTGCTGCAGTGTTGTAATACGTAATATTCAGTGCATATTCAGCAGGAAAAAAAAAAAAGAAAAAAAAAAAGAAAAAAAAAAGATAAATTTGGTCAAATACACCGTTAACTATTCTTAGTTACGTTAAAATTATGTATTCATAATTAAAATCCCTATTTAGCCAAGACAAACGTGACAGAAGAAAGAACCAAAAGGACCTATATTTTCATGATTTAGTGTTTGCCATCATTCTATGACAAACAGACAGTGCTCTGGATGGAAACATTACAAAATGCTGTTTACTTTCCCGTATCTATGTCAATTCATGTGGTGTTTAAGTAAGTGAATCCATGCTTTTGAGGGCTAAACCAAGTCTCAGTGTTCAAAAGTAAACATATTGAAGTCTCCCCTGCAGAAATCCCTGCTGTGAAACAAATTGAATATCAAATACAGCATTGTTTTCCATAATAAGCAATAATTGAACTCTTGTCAAAGTTGCACTGAACTGGTTAATAGCCACCATGTTAGGAAAGTGCTAACTTCCCTAGCTAGGGGTGTGTGTATATGTTATCTCCAAATCTAAAATGCAGCAATATAATGTCATGTACCAGAGAGGCCACTTACATATGCACTGAATCTGACTTTGTTTGTCTTCCCGCAGGCCATGTGGCTGATGCTGCAAACGGATGAGCCAGAGGACTTTGTCATAGCCACTGGGGAGGTCCACAGCGTCCGTGAATTTGTGGAGAAGTCATTTAAGCACATTGGGAAAACCATTGTGTAAGTATGAGTGTGAGACAGTAGCCACAGGTTGAACACTTCTAGCCTTTTGCATTTGCTGTGTTACAGAGCATTGTTTCTCTATACTCCTCTTTTTTTCTTTTTTTTTTTTTTTTTCTCCCCTCACTTTCTGTTCTGTAGCGTGAGGGTTTCAGGACATAAACGACTGCCACAGTGAATATATCCAGTGCCTAAGGGAAAGTTTTAGGAGGGTACATCTTCATTTTTGATTTCAAAACTTCATTTGCTGTTCTCCCATTCATGCCCCTTCTTGGGGGCAGATGCCTGTTCAAAGATGTTAGTAACAGGGTGCTTTTCATTACCCTGCTGCAAATGGGGTTTTCTGCCCAATTCTGCATTTTGTGCCCCCAGGTCCCAGATATCCCCACAGTTCTGCTCCCATCCTCTGCAGTCTCAAGAAATGACACCTGCCAACCCTGTTCTTTCCACATGACAGCCCATCAGCCATTCCACAAGGATTATGTAGCAACTCACCCTGCATTCCTGCTAGCTCTTCTCCTACCAAGCCATAAAAATGTTGAGCAGTGGGTGCAGAATGTTTACAATGCATATTCCACATAGTTTGATTGAAAATACAGAATTCCTTCTCAAGGCCATATAATAAAACCAGGATGGCTTGGTGAGCGCTTTCCGTAATTTATATTTTTATTGTTTATTATTTTTTCAATTTCCCTCCTTCTGTATCTTCTCTGGGCCCCATGCATCAACATACCGATCTCAGCTGGAAAAGGGAGAGGAAAGCCACAGGCTCTTCCATGACGCTAGCGCCAGGGCTGTTCCTCAGGCCATCAAAGTCACTTGTGCAGCTGGTGAACTTTTGACAGGGCCAATAAGTTTTACTTGGGAACAAAAACTTGACAAATTCAATAAATATGCAGAAGTGCACAGATATATACAATATTATTTGAACAGCCAGTGGGTGGCTGGGGAGGTAATAACATTTTCTCCTCAATGAGTTTTTAGTCTGGTTTCAATTTTTGGCATCAACTTCCAAAAAAAAAAAAAAATGATAGCGGGAAAGAGAGACTATATAAATAGAATTTCTAGCCCAAATGCTCAATTTTGGGAATAAGTTTCTCTCCATATTTTTAACATCTCTTCACTGTGAGATGTCCCTTTATGATCAGTCATTGTCCCATATGCCTTAACAGTAGTGAGGTAGGACAGGGCAAAAGGGAGGGAGCAGGAGCTCTAGTATGCTTTCCCTTTCTTCTTTTTTCCCTTTTTCTATACTTTTGCTTCTCATGTTTATAATATAATTCTTCCTAATAAGCATTGAAATCGGTATGTTGTGGATTCACTTGTTCCATATAAGTAAGAATTCTTGTGATATCAAGAACTTTTTTCCCTGTCCAGTGTTATTTGCAAAAGGAAGAATGAATATTTGGTGGTGGTGGTTTGTGGTTGTTTGTTTGTTTGTTTGTTTTTGTTTTGTTTTGTTTTGTTTTATTACATAAAATTAGAAACCAAGACATATCAGTCAGTGTCTAGCTGAATGCCCTTTTTTGCAGATGTTCTCATCACTGCAGTTTCTTTTGACATCAATACATTTAGCTGTTAGCTCAAAATTATGCTCCCTGCTCCGGTATTAGCCAAAGAAATCTCAGGGTGTCCCAAGGCTTACAAATCAGCATGTATTTTTCAGAGAGTAAATTAAACTCTCGAGAAAAACAGAAGAAAAGAACAATTACCCAAATGCAAGTTAAAGTACTTATGAATAGCTTTGGTTATAGACAGGTTCCTAAACGCTTATTTTAGATTTAGTTGGTCCAAATACACAGTTTTTTTTGTCTCTTTTTAAATTTTTTTTACTCGTATATGTTTTCATGTGGTGGACTGCATATCATTCATGGTGGTGATTAGTGCATTCAGTGTTTGTACTGAATCAATCACTCTTAAGTTTCACTCTTGGGGAAACTTTAGAGTATTACTCCAGCTGATGAGGTAGGGCAGGTATTCTGTGTGTGCAAAGGCATATTCACATTTTTTTTAATTAAAAAAAAGTAATTTTCAGAAATTGTGTAGGAATTTGCATGACATCTAGTGTCATGGATTTTTAGGAGCCTGAGTCTCCAAACCGCTTTAGAAACAGGGCTTAGGCTGGTAATCATCATGGTTCTTTTGAAATTTTTCTTCACTGTGAATATGTTATTAACTTCTTAAGACATTTATGGGTGCTGTGTAAATAGCTGTACATATTTGTACAGCTGAGGTGACACTTTAGGCTGTTTATTTCCCCTGCTCCTTGGATGGGGTAGTGTCACAACTGACCTACTACCATCCTATAGCCATTGGTCACCTTTCAAATTGTGTTAGATGTAGAGCATTTTTAAGGATTTGGAACGTTTTGTTAAGAACCTCCATAATTTTTGTAGATGTCGGCCTGGCCCATGCTTTACACACTCCTTACCCTCACTGTCTTCTTGGCTGGGCAGCTGGTAACCTTTCACATTCCTTGAAATCTCCAAGGGCTTTCTACTCCCACCTCCTGCCGTTTGGATATATCTTCTTCAGGGAGTAACCTGGCAGCAAAATCCTCCCCTTTAGTGTTGTGGGACCCCACTGGCGAGTCCCATTGATTTGTTTCTTTACAATTCATGACGAGGCACCTAAGGACATTGCACCAGAGTTGCTAAATGAGTTCATGCAAGAATGGCTGCTTTCCATCTGTCTCCCATCCTAAAGTTTGGATGTGCTGTTTTGGGGTTGTTGCTTTTTTTGCAGGTGTTAGGAACTTTTGTAATCCCAAAAATTTATCTGGGAAATTTCCAGCAGTTTTTTCCACTTTTGTAAGTGATGGAACAGCTTCCCAGTATGGCAGTACAGTACACCTTTCAAAATCAACAGAACGATGGAGAAAATGCCCAGAAAAGATGTAGGGGCAAGCAGCAATTGACAGAGCTCATCACACACCTGCAAACACTGGGCACATGTGCAGGGACTTACCAACCCTACTTTGTGCTTTAGCAGGAAATGTTGCAAATGTAACAGCATCTTAGCTGTCACATCTTGATGTTGCAGTAGAAAATGGGAAGAAAAGCAATCCTGACTGCCCCACCAACCAAGTAAAAATATATTTTTTAATTTTTTTTCTTCCAAACAATTCACATTAACTTCTACAGCTGAACTTCCAGGGCAGCCTAAAAAGTCTTTCCAAAAAGATAACATAATACTCTGTCAAAGCCAGTCATTAGCACATGTCAGGACTATATCTTCTTGCCAAAATGAAAGACAGAGAAACTTTACTACATTTTTGTAAGTAATGAAACATACAGCTGCAATAAGACTGACTGATTCCCCTCTGAAATTGACTGTGAAGTGTACACAGAGGTTTCTGTACACTGTACGTTTTTTCCCTCTAACACTTCTTTTTCGAGGGAGAAATTTGAAATTATATTTATATAATCCTCTGAATCATTCAAATCCAGCCCTTTGTACTAACAGGAAAGCCTCAGAGCTACAAATATTTTCCCCCTGTAAGGATTACACTTTTTTTTCTTTTACTTTCCCTGCTACTTATTACTAATTAAGTAGTACTTGGGGGAAACACTTCCCGCCTATAATTTGAACTACAGCAGGGTAAACGAAACAGGCAAACGCTTGTCTTGACTAATTTTCTGTCATTAATCTTATTAAATTAGAACAGGATTGCGAAGATAGCCCGAAACCACTACAGCACTCAGAGTTCTTCGCAGAGTGCTACAGAGACTGCTGTCTGCAATGTCAAAAAAAAAAAAAAAAAAAAAAAAAGTTCTAGCATTGGAAAGATTTATTGTGTTTTTTATTAAAATAAAAATACATGCACATTTGTTACAGAAATATTCATTGCTTCCAGGATCAGAATTAATTTGGGGAAAAATGAATATTTTACTCCAGTCTTCTGGCTGTACACACAAATTTTATCTTAACTAGCATGCATGTTGGTCTTCAAAAAAAAAAAAAAAAGAACCCCAAAAAGGAGAAGTTTGCAGATAAGCTGTGAGGTCTAATGGGGTGAACTACTGGCAGAACTGGAGCAGGGCCTCTTCAGTGACTGTGAATGTTGATCTTAGCGAGAAGTTTTTGTTTCATTTTTTCTTTCTTCCTTAAGATGGAAGTTGGGGTCACAGACACACGTGAGATTTGAAGGACTTCTGTAAGAAAGGAAAGCCAACAATGTGTTGGTAACGGTGCTGCTGGGAGGTGAAAGAGGAGCCATCAAAAGTCATAATCTAAACAGCTGTTGTCCTCAGGTCTGGCTTTTGCCCACCAAACATTGCTGTCTGGTGGTGCTGTGCGTTGTATTTAACAGCTCAGGAAAATCAGAAGCATTCAAATGAGGAAGAAGGGAAGAGAATCTCATAAGTAAATTAGAGATATTTGGACAAGTGATTGACAAAAGGAACCAGCCAAGCCAGTGAAGAATGCACGAGGCAAAGCCCTCACTTGGGACTGTACCCTTTTTTCACTCTTCTTATTGTAGACTATCTTTTTTTGGGAGGCATGTAACCTGATTCAGACAGAGAATTAACTCTTAACATCTGAGATGACTTTTTTACTTTCTTATTGATTTAAGCTTTTATCTTTGGCAGATCTAATAACTGTTTCAGAAATCAAGTTGGAAGACTGCAACAATTTAATATCTGATTTTGTACGTTGTGAGGAAGAGTTTCTCCTACATGAAGACAGGGTGTAAATTAAATATGATGTTTCATATTCCATATTTTTCCCCCAAATGGGATGAAATTAATTATCACAAATGCAGTTTGGAAAAATATCTGATTTCAGGTCAGCTGTAATGTTTTGTTTATGTTCAAAAGTTCTATTAAAGAAAGAATAATGTAAAAATATTTTTAATGCCATTCCAAAAGGAAAAACATTCTGAAAATTTCAAAGCTTCATTTCTAGATCTTATTAATAGATTTTTCTTGCAAATTGACAGTAATGTAACTTATTTGAAACTAAAACTTTTCTTTCCAGAGCATTTTGATTTTCACAGAAGCATTAATTTCTTGGAGAAAAAAAAAAAAATCTTGTGAACAAAAACCTTGTTAAAAAGGGAGCATTATCAACTGCTTTCCAGCAAAGGGGGAAGAACTTGAAAAGATTTCCAATGCACTGGAAAAAAAAAAAAAGAAAAAAAAAAGAAACCAAAAAGTAGGCCACGTAGCAAGTATTCTTTCCCAAAGATTCAGAATGTGGGGATTCACAATTTAGGTTTTTGAAACTTGAGCTTGGCAATGCTGGGAATTTAATACCAATGTTTTAACTGTGTTCCTTGAGCGAACAACCACTGAGGACCAGAATCGTGAGAGCATGAGAGCAAATGTTGAAGTACATCCCTGTATGGTAGCATACTTGTTCTTAGATCTAAGCACAAGGTATCAGTTAAGCAGTCTCTGTGCCCTTCAATGCTTTGTTGCATCAGAGCTTGAGTTGGTAGCAAAGGAACTTCCAGAGAGTCATATTGAAAATTTCTCTACAAGCGATTACTTGCAAGAGACATCAGTGGTCTGTTGTATGGTGTCAATTTTGCTGTTTATAAAGCAACAGGACAGATGGACTGCTCTGTAATCATGTGTATTGGCCTTCAGGTCACAAATATGCAAAGCCCACACAAATAGTATTGACATTAGCTGTGGAGAATGAGCAAAGCTTTCCTAAGAAGTCACTTTTAAGTAATTTATTGTTTGGTTTCAAATGTAAAAATATTTTATATTGGCATATATTTGATTTTTAAGGTGTGATAGTTGGTTTTTTTTTGTTTTGTTTTGTTTTGTTTGTTTGTTTGTTTTCCCATATAAAGGCTGGGAGTCTTTAGCTGCTAATGATTCTGAATACTTTGTAAAATGCTGTTAGTTGTGCCACTCTGTAAAGATTAAGTAACAGGATGAAATGCACACATGAGTTGCATCTCTGTGCTTTTTGAAAGGTTTCATTTGCAGTTGATTTTGTGGCCACTTCATCAAAAATGCACACACTTCGCCTTGTTTGCTATTCAATCCCAGCCATTTGGACCTTTTGGTCCTTTGCAGTGCTATTCCTGCCACCCACTGATTAACCTGGCTCCCCTGGGTCACTCCCTGCCCTCCTCACATCCCACCGAGTGCCCCAGCTCTTCGTCCTCAGAAAGTCCTCTGTCGCTGTTGATGTTTTTATAGCTTGAAGCTTGCTGTCTTACGAGATAGTTGTAGGAAATGGAAAATAATTGACATCTCCAGAGTCAAAGAGGAAAAGGAGCATTCATCACAGCTGGTAATAAGTATTAAAACAGTAGTAATTTGCGGATATGAAATTAGCTTTGAATTAAATGCAGTCCATTCCTCTAGAGAGTGTAGAGGTTCTTGAGGTGAAGAACCTTTTACACAAGTGAATTTGTGCATGCACTTGAAATATGAACTTCTTAGTTTTATGGAAATATGAACTTCATAGTTCTATGGCACTGCTTTTTGTCCTAAGCAATCCCAGAGCACCCATCTCCACCAGTGAGGTGCTCACTGTAGCAGCGTGGATGTAGAAGGCATCAAGCTCCCTTGGCAGTAGCAGGGAGAATGGTCTCATGCATCCTCCTCTGGGTACAGAGCAGTCAGGCATGTGGTCAATGCCATCAGCTTTGAGAGCAAAACCATCCTTTGCTTCAGTGAGAGCGTGCAGCTCCTTAGCATGGGGCAGGTGATGTAGAGGCTAATTACCTGCAGGCTCCAGGACCAACCTTTGGTCAAAAGCCTACACTACACCATCCTCCTTGAATTTAGCCCAGTCCCAATTAGTCAAAATTTTTTTAGCCAGGGTCCCGTTACATTTTCCCCAAGGTATACAATGCTCTTTTCTTGCCCACTTGGGCCCTAGGGAGCAGAAAACCCAGTAGTCCTTGTGGCTGGAGCTATCTAAAACCACAACAACGTGAGGATTCCCCATGCCTCTTTGACCACGCTCATGCTTCAGGATAGTCTGGCATTACATTCTCCAGTAAACATTTCTGACTGCAGTTTGACTACAAATTAAGGGGTCTGTTGGTGCTTTTGGTGGGATTTTTTTTCCCCTTCTTTGTTGTTAAAAGAAGAGGGGAGAGGGAGTTGGTTAGCTAATTGGATGCCTTGCTCCCGGTGTCGGGTTGGCCCCAGCACAATCCCTTTTATCAGCAGTATGGTGTCCCCAGCTGGGAGCGCGGAGGTGCCAGGAATAATCAAAAGTGCTGCTATCAAGTTCTACTGTGTTCACAATGAGAATTACTTCTTTCCTTGTGAACTTTTCACATTGCCGGGCTGAGCAGAACGGGTGGAGCTTTCTTCTTAAGTTATTTCTATTGTTATATAACTTCGATGGTGACATTAAGTGAGTCTTTACTGGCTGGGTCGAGCCTTCTGGAGACTGTTGGGTGTTAAATGGGGTTCTCTGCTCAGTGACCTCCAACAACAACTGACGTCTCCTGATCTAAGCACTTCCTGTTGTTTTACTGGTGACGGTTAGTTTTCTATTAAGCTCATTTGAGTCCTGCACATTTTTACCCTCTGCCCTTTAAAGGGAGGGACTAATGTTAGTTTTGGCTTCTGAATGGAAACTTTACAGTGCAGGCTTCAAACAGAGCAACTGTGAAAGAGAAAGGAAGAAAATTTAAGTTATAAATCATCTTTAGCATCATGTCATGACTATCTGCAGCTGACTTCATCATGGCTATTATCTGTTGGAAATTATTTCAATGTAAAGTGTTCCCAGTATCAAGCATCCTACAGGCTTTGCTAGTCATCCAAAAGTCATGAGTTTCACTTAAAAAAGAACACGGGATTTAAAAACTAGTAATAATACATATTTGGTATTTCCTTCTGCTTTTTGGTGTTTTAACCTTCATGGGTACACAGAGGTCACATTTTCAAATTTTCCTCCATAGCCCTTGGGGCTAGAAACCCAAAAATGAAGGCTGAAATTGTCAAAGAATTAAATTCTTCTGAAAGCCTGGGGGGGAGGGCAGGGGAGCAAAGAAAAATCAAATCTGTGGCAAAATCCCAAGAACTGGCGGTACAATTAGTAAGTGGGAGGCAAGGGGCAGTTTTCCTTCATTGCTGATGACTGAGGCTAAATAGTCTAAATCACAGCGCTGATTTAAATTACATAGATTTTACTTGAACACAAAAAAGTAAAGGATTTCATCACCGTGTTTTTGTGCCAAGCTGGTTCAGAGCCCCATGATATACTTAGAAGCAAAAAGCAAGGAGCGGATAGGGTTTCAATCATAACTCTGGATTTTGTACGTTCGGTGAATTAGTTTTGAGACATCAATGTATGTTCCCAAACGTTTCATCCGAAACATTTGTTTTGAGAGGGAGCATTGTCCTCAGGCTTCCTGGCTGCAGTCTGCCCCTTGCAAAGGCAGAGCCACTCACCCATCAAACTGTGCCTGTTCAGCTGCCATACTCAGCCCAAAAATTTTGACCAGGACAGATGCTAAGCAAGTAGTCCAGGGCAGAACCAGATCACATAAATTACAGCAAATTGCAGGCTGTTCAACACATATGAAACTAATTTAGACAAAGGAGCTGACTGTAAGCTCGCAGGTAGTGAGTATTGTTTACAGTCCATGTATGTGAAGTGCCATGTCAAGCTAGGACTGAAAATTCAAGAACTGTTTTTGTTTTGTTTTTCCTGGTTAAGCACAAATTAGATTATGCAGCTTAATGCTATTCAAACAGAGCTTCACTTCCATAAAATTAACAGATTAAAGTGTTCCTGAAACTATTGGCTAAAATACAAGAATTAAAAATATTTTAAGAACCATTTTAAGCAACTTTGAACCAATCCACAAATGAAAAGGCTCACTGTCATATTTATTTGAAGATACATGAAACATTCTGAAATCGGGATGTTTTATTTTCCCCTCACATTATGTGTTTAATTTGGAAGTCCTGTATTTTAGACCTTCCACTGAATCAAAAACCAAAACAAAGAGACTTCAAAAGCCATTGTTGCTCCATTCAAGTCTGAACTCTGCCTTTGTTCCTATAGCTAATGAGTTTATACTGTCCTGCAGGGAGAATTGACACCAGCCTCAAGTAAATGAAAGCAGGCCAAATGTTGGTAAGATCAGAGCACTAAAGTAATTATGGGTTGATTAAATGTTTATCTTCTTTACAGGTGGGAAGGGAAGAATGAAAATGAAGTAGGGCGATGCAAAGAGACTGGCAAGATTCATGTGACAGTCAATCACAAGTACTACAGGCCAACTGAAGTGGTAAGAAAATGCCCTCTCTTCGCTTTGCAAATGAATAATCCAATCACTCAGCCAATAAATTGCTGCATTTGGCTAGCAGTCTGTGAAAACGGCTTAATTGCACTCCTGCTGCCAGCTTTTAGAGCTCTAAATTAGCCTGCTTGATGGCCCCTTTGCAGCCAGCTACCTGGGAACTAGCAAACAGCACTGCCCAGGAGGAGTGGGTCTGTTTGCCCTGCTGGGGAGATGCTGCTGTGCCTCCTCACCCTCTCTGAATTGCAGAGGGGAGGCTTGGAGGAGTGAAATGTCACCCTGTGGGTAACAAAGCGAAGTATAAAACAACTTATGATGCCTTCTGGTCCTGAATTGGTTCGTGGTCATCTTTCCTCCAGATGCAAGAAGGGAAAGTAGAGGAAGGTGGGCACTAATAGGCTTGATTTTTGAAGTCCTCCTTCTGTGTCTTCGTAGCAGTGTTTCAGTTCCATTCAGTGAGTATTGCCTGTTCAGCTTAGATTTTTGCAACGGGGAGCATCACAAAATGCCCGTTTTAGAAGTGCAAGCATGCTTGTGGATTTTGTTTTCTCAGGCGTTTTGTGAGATCCCATTTAGAAAATGCTCATTTGCAGAGCGTGTCTTCGCTCCCAGGAGTGAAGTCTGCCAGGCGCTCGCACTGCTGGCAGGCCAGGCCTCTAACCCTGTGCTCAAATCATCTAGTGAGCATGCTAGGAGACAAAAAAAACAATGCTCCCAAGTCAGGCAGGATGGTGGCAGTGCACAGAGATGGCTCAGGATGGAGCCTGGTTTCTGGACATGGGGAACAATAGGCCTTATTGTGCGGAGTGAGAGAGGGTGTGCCCAGGAGAGGATGTTCTCCTCTCCTGGGGAGGGTGACACCAGCCCCGCCGGCTGCTGACACAGCATCGGCTGTCAGTCAGCTCGTTCAGAAGTGCTGGCTTCAGATACGAGCAAGGTGTGACGAGCACATTTGTCTTGACACAGGTTGCAGGGCGCGAGTGGGGAGCTGCGTGTGTGTAAGCGAACATCGGTTCTAAAGTGGAAGTGCAGAGGGGAATACGAGGATTTCGTGGTATGCGAAAAAGGGCTGGGCCCGTGTACCAGAATCAAATGCTAGGAAGTCATTAAGAGATGTCCGTCATTCTGTGCTTTGGTAAGGTGTCAGGATGATAAGGAGGACACGGAGACAAAAGGACTTGCCAAACAGGAAAAGGACACTTGACCCAACAAGTCTGCGCTTTGTGAGACCTGCTTTCCTGCTTTGTCATACTCCTCACTAATGAGTACATATTCCTCAGCATCCACTGGTTGCCCTCGCTATAGCTCCACCTTATTTGTGTGCCCAGACATTTTCTGCTGAAATAGTTTTGTCCACCATCTTCTCTCCATCTTTATTGGTCTATTTTGGGAACACGATTTCTGGATTTTAAATTCAGCTCATGACATGCTTGTCCATTTTGGTGTGTAAACAGAAGTTCTTCAGGAATGCTCATGCAATTGCTGTTGAGTCCACACATGAAAACAGGGATGTATCAAATACAGAGCACAATGTGCCCTTCAAATAGCACTGCAGATAGAGATCAGTAGAGATCTTTATCTGAAGTTATCTGGTCTGCCCTAGACAACCTATTTTTCCCTTGGGCTCTCTTCCGCTGCCCCCATCTTGCCTTGCATTTAACATGCTCCTTACTCGGTTCCCATGGAAGCCAGGAAGGCTGTGAAAGCTGCTTGAGCACAAGCAGGGGTCGAAGCACCAAATGGGAATCACATTTGTGAGATTCCAAAAGGCCAGACCAAAACCTAATCCATTGCCAGAAAGCGAGGAAAAGCAATAAGAGAACTGAAATAGACTGACGGCGCGTGTCCCCTCCTGCTACCCTCACCAAGATCGCTGAGGGCAAGGACGCCTCAGGTTGACATTTTTGCAAGAGGCTTAGCCAGATCGGTTAATGGGAATTCTGCTGTTGAATCCTAGCTGACACACAAAATCCAGTGCTCAGATTCTCATGTCTTACTTGGAAATGTTTCTGTCTGTCTCTCTAAAATTTAACATGGTATTCTGAAAAGTGAAAATAAATAACATTTAATCTTGTATACAGTCAGTTCTGACAGTGCCAATACATTCATTTGAAAACACATTTGTTTTCTTCAGTCAGTGATCCCTGGGGTCAAGGCCTCCCATTGAAAAGCTTAGCTGTACTGAAGAAGAAACCTTGAAATGTGAGACTGTCTTCTGGTCAAACTAAGTAGACTCTTTGAATGCCTCGACTCTAAATCTCTTCACTCTGCTTTTTGACTGCTTTGGGGCCCCCTGATATTTACTGGCCTTGGGAATTGTTCCTGCTAATGCTTCTAATGCCTGTCTCTCTCCTTCAATTCTTGTGCCTTGCTAACGACAAACCTATTGCTATCATTTCTTTTGGCTAGTATCCTCTCAGTATCCTTTTTGACCCTTCTTTTAAATTGTGTTTGGAGACTGTAACCTGCTGTATGGATTGGAAAAAAATGATTACTTCTGCCTTTCTTAAAATCAGCAATTTTCACAAGAGCTCCATCACAAGCTTGCTTTTTATACTGAAATTGATACAGCAATAAAGATGCTTTCATGCATTTTGCAGTCTTTTTTAGCACATGGCTGGTAAGGTTGTATGTTACATTCATTTGCTGCTCTAGGTATGAAAAGATAAGTTTCCACTGCAGTTTACTCACCTGTAGAATTTAGAAATGATCTCACTAGTCTTTTCAATTATTGCTACAATCAGAATGCAGGTAGGCAACTTAGTCTATACTTGGATTTGAATAATCCACTTGACTTAAAAATATATATATATATTAAAAATTCAAAACACAATTCTGTGAGCCAGCTCATTCAGTTGGAAACAAGCAACCCTGCAGCAGAGGATATTGGAACCATCACATCTCTCAGACCCTGAAGTGGGGTAATTTTTATAGAATTTGGGCCTGTCTTTAATTTTCTTATCTTTCAGCAAGATATTAACTCACTGTCATTTCTTGCATCTTATTTACATATATTAGAAAAAATGAAATAATCCTAAAATTAACAACAGAACCATGGTTTCTGAAGAAATCAAGTGAGATAGTCAAGCAGGTATTTCCCTCGAAGAGTTCCACAATCATTGCTTCTAATCAAGTTAAATAAGTTTAAGTGTTTGAATAAAATTGCTTCTAGTATTTTTGCATGGCAAATATTAAACTAACAGTTCTTATTGGTGTTTGCATCATTTCATTGTGCTTTCTCACAACAATGAAAATCAACCTCAGGTCTCATTGGTCTGACCCATCACCAGAGAACTTAAGATGTGTATTTTTCAGTTAAGAATTTAATAAATTCTATGTTAATATTTCTTTTAAATAAAAAAATAAAATGAAGGGGAGAAACATTTCAACCATATGGAAGTGTTGTGTATGTTACAGGGAATCCTTCTGCTTCATCCCACCTGTTTCTGTAGGTGTCCCACAGCTTTTTTAGATTAGGAGCTGCAGGTTGAATTCATGCATTGAATTTGTTATGGACTGGCATGGCTGTAACTCTGAGGATGTACATAGATCAATGCAAATTTCCTTCCTTTATGCAAGCCCTAGAACCTCTGTCACAATGTGATGCTAATGTTTAAGCACACATATGGCCTCTTATTATTCTTCTTCAAAGAAAAAAGGGTATGCTAACTTTTTCCTTTTGTTATATGCCTTCAGCAGTTAAGCATTTTTCTCCCAGTACTTTCTAGCACTGATATAAATGAAACTCCATGCCATAGTTAGCAGAAAAATTCACAGCAGCACAGTGTCCAAGGATACTTTGTCCTCCTGGAATTATTTCTCTCGAGCTGCTCTAACTTCTAAGAAGTTCCATATCCCTCTGCACCAGCTTGCTTACTTTTCAAAGGATTGCTTGTCGAATCTAAATATCTACAGAAATATATGAAAAAAGAAATTTTCCAGGTTTTCTACGTGTTGCTTACACTAAACTTTACATCTTTACTTAACTACATGTGGCCTCAGTTGCCCTTTTTCTTCTTTGGAATTAAGCAGGACGGCTTTAAATTTCAGTCTCTTCAGATGTTTTTTAAAAATTCAGCTCTATGTTTCCCATGTTTCATAGGATTCCAGTAAAAAATTCCTTGGGGCATATCACATTCTCCCAAAGTCAGCTTTCTTAAAGTCAAAAACATTTGTGAACTCCTCTAAGTGTTCCTGCCGTAAAGACCATTTAGACTCTAATGAAACCATGGTCACAAAACCCTGACTGCCTTGTGCTTCCACTTCAGTTTCCATGCAAGCTTCATTTCCCACTCTTAAGTTCAGAGCAGCCTGTGCTTGTAAACTGTTTAGATGTCTGTATGAGGAAACACGTGCTTCCCTTCCTTAAGAATCTTTATGCTCATCAATGTCAACGTGCGACCTGTATTAATAGTCACGAAAAATGAAATGAGAGCATTCAAGGAAGAATAATCTTCAGATAGTTTTCCTGTCTATTTTCCTCACTGGCAGCCAGGTGAAGAAGTTGCATGTTGTCATAACTCTGGCAGTCTTCTCCTGTCTTTTTGTCTTGTTTTTTATTCTATTTTTTTCTTGTTTTGAAACACATGTCAACATCTGAAAACTACTGCTTTGGTAAATGATTGCCTCTGTTGTCCTTAATTCTCCTCCAAGCTGGCTTTGCTGCTGTGTCAGCCAAAATATTTATATCATTCCTTACTTAAGACTCAACATTATCTCTGCATTCCTTTGCCACCCTCTTCCTTTTCTTTGTCTCTCCTGCTAGTAAAACCTGCAGTAGATTTTTTTTATTTTATTTACAGGCCTTACGTATCAGGCGTTTCAGAAGCGTCTCTGAAAACATACATGTCAAATTCAGCCAAGTAAAAGAATGATCAATAATAACTTGTCACTGTGTGCCATCTACAAGGCACGGAGCACTTTAAGCGTTTCTCTACGAGCATGTAGAAGAGGTAAAAAGCAGTATCAGCGCGTTTCAGCTCGTGAAA